ATTCACTTATTCTCTCTGGCCCAGTCGCTTTTTTCTCTTGTTTTTTTTTTTTTGCTTTGTGAAGAAGTCGAGAAGGAAAGAAAAAAAAACACAACTTCAATAGATTTTCATCACAAATTTCATGTATGTGCATTTATTTAACGGGCACAACACACAATTTACTCTCTGTCACATGTACGCGTACAAATAAATCATGAGAAATCTATCCGATTTCTATTCATTTTGCGTATTTGTTTTATGTAAGCCAATTGTGGTTTTTTTTCTTTCATAAATGCGACTCCATATCTAAGCTTAAAATAACTGAAGAGCTAGTGTATGTGTGTGCGTGCGCGCATCACGTCAATTTCTCAAGCGCAATAGTAAGGCAGCAATAACAACGCTTAAGTCGCATACAAATTCATAGAAGTAAATGCATCTGCAAACCATAAAACGTCAGAACACTCAAACGGAACATAGCAAATTTACATTCATATGATCTGGTGCTCACACCATCGACATTGACACAATATGAACTCTGATGAAATTGCAAACATTTGGTTCGACAACCAAAAAAAAATTAATAGAGCATCTGCGTTGCTTATTTTGGTAATTTCCATGTACTTTCATTTTATTGGAGTTCATTTTTGTTTAAAATGCCAGAACATTTCTTGAAATATGTTGTTACAGCTTTTTTCCATATTTGCAAAACCAATCACTATAATGTGTAATAGATACATAATATTGTTATAGCAGATAATAATCGTGAAACACACACACCAAAAATACCAAGAAGAACGTGGGCTTTGAGCATGTCCAAACACCACACAAAATAAATATTCGGAACGACCAAAAATAGGCTATACTTAAGACGAAGTTTAATGGGAAAAAAAGTTTCCTTGACTGCAACCATTTGGTGATTGTTTCACTTTCGATTTTGGGCGATCAAACACCTTTACTAACTCGATAAAATACACATCGATTCGAAAATCGAATTGTACAACAATGGCGCATATGTGTGCGTGACAGTGCACACAATTTGCGATGAGTATGAAGGTGGAATATTAATTAGTCGTTGAAAACGTGCTCAAACGGACAACACACATCGCACAATTGAAAACGAACAACAAATGTAAAATGGGCCATTTTTGGGTCCGAATATTCAATTAATAATCACATTGGTTAGAAGACGTGAAGGAAAAAATAGCACGACAAACTAAAAAAAAAAGCAACAACATTAAATGTCATCTTTTGGCGCTGGTTCTTAAAATGACCCGCTAAAACGAAGCGAAAATAATGAGGGAGATAAAAATACGCTTCAAACTTGACATATTAAGGTTTTTCGTTCTATTACGAATATTGCTGTATAGATCCATCGATTTCAGACAATATGACATAGCACAACACATTGATATGAACATTTCGTGATTCTAACATTTCCATGTAATTTAGACAAATAATCATCGATATCGCCTGAAAGCATTTGTAATTCGTGTCAAATATCGTCTACTATTTTTTCTCTCTCTCTCTCTCTCTCTCTCTCTCTCTCTCTACTGAGCTCTTTTTTTCAATAATATTGTTTTATTTTTTGTGTTAATGATTTCATGTGTGTGTGTGTGTAAAATAGAAATAATAAATGACTGAGTGATCTGCGAAATGACATCATCATCATCGTCAGAGAGATAGAAAAACACTTTAAAGTGTCGATATCCAGTAATGTGCGAAGGGGGGGTGGTTTTGTTTTTGTTTGATTTGCTAGAGAATTCTTTGTTTTTGAAAAATTAAACCCAAATTGCCACAAACAAAGTAATGGCCTCTGTGTTCTGGAATTCCAAAGGCATAATATTGGTTGAATTCCTCCCAAATAACACCACAGTCACGGGCTATTATTATGCACAACAGATGCATAGATTGCGCAAAGCCATCAGAGAAAAACGCCCTAGTCTTCTCACTCGAAAAGTTCTTCTTTTGCATGACAATGCACCAGCTCACAAATCATTGCTTGCACAAGCTGCCATCAGGGAATGCGGCTTCGAACAACTTCACCATCCACCGTATTCTCCAGATCTGGCCCCCAGCGACTATATCCTGTTTCCAAACACCAAGAGATATCTCAAGGGAAAGCAGTACAAGACCGAAGAAGAGATTTCAACCGATATTTTCAACGTATGGGAGGACAAGAGTGCCGAATGGTTTGAGGGGGCAATTAAAGCATTGAAGCATCGTTATGAAAGTGTCATTCGTGTACATGGAGACTACTTTGAATAATAATTATACTCATTTAAAAATACAACGTGTCTTGCTATATCAGGCTTAAAACTTTTGCCTCCCCCTGTATTCACTGCAATAAATATTAAATTCCAATTAGATTTTCATTTAAGGTCGTTTTTTTCTCGAAATGCCAACAGTTCATGCACTGGAAAAATGTATGCAAATATGACTGAGAAATGGTTTTTCCATTCGTTCACGCCGTGTAAATTTGTAAAGTAGTACATGGAGTATTGATTTTGTTCGTGTTCGTAATCTGTACCATCTAAAAATATATAAAAAAGAACAACCTTTATTTCCGGCTAGAATTATATATTGTAATCGCGCAGCGACTACCTATATTTTTGTGAATCATTTTTGTTCGGTCGTTTATGGAGTTGGTTCTAATTGTTATCATTGGCGTAGGCCATGATTTTCTCTATATCTACTATATACAGTATGTCTCATTATATAAAGCCATCGATTTTTCATATTAAAACTCACAAGTTGTACAAACTTATTTTATATAATTTTTATTTGACTTCTAAGCTACGACGCACACAATCAATATTTAATCCAGTCACCGTCATGCTCGATCACACGGGCACATCTATTTGGCATACTTTTGCTCAAATTTTCAGCATATTCGCGTTGAAAACCTTTCCACTGCCGTAGAATGAATGCACTGAACTGCTTCAAATTGCGAAATGTTTTTCTGCGGAGTCTTGCCTTAATAAAAGCCCAAACGTTTTCGATCGGATTGCAATCAGGTGACTGTGGCGGCCATACCATTTGATCAATGTGATTTTCCTCTTTCCAAGCGGTGCACAGACGACTTTTGTGTTTTGGATCGTTGTCTTCTAACAGAAGCCAATTCGAATTGTCGTTGCCATAGAACTTCTTGGCGGTGGGTAACAGTGTCGATGAATAAAGTTGGTTCATCTTAACAGCGTTTAGAATGCCCGTGAATACGGTCAACTTTCCAAAACCGGCTTCACAGAAGCATCCATAAACATGGACCTTTTGCGGATGCTTTACGGTGCGAACGACCACTCTCTTTTCGGCTCTAGACCAGGCATGGGTAGTGTTATTCACCAGCCAAAACGATGACTCATCAGTGTAAATAACTTTGCTCCAATCGGTCGTCAAAATTTCCTTTGCCCAGGCAATGCGTTTTTTCTTCTGGTTTTCTGTCAAAAGTGGTTTCTTCACTGTACTGCGATAACAAACACCGGCAATATCCAACCTTCTTTTGAGAGTGGAGCGCGAGACGTCTATTTTAAGACGCCGTAGTCGTTCGACGCCTTGGCGCAACGTCATACCTGGATTTTCATCGAACAACTCGACTATGCGTTTATCTTGCTTTGGCGAGGATGCTCGGTTTGGTTTAACATTGGGCTGATCGTCCACATTTTTTTCACGCTTATATTGCTCGATCCACTTTCTTACGAATCCTCTTGACTTTCTAATGTGTTTTGCGACCTCCACTATTGACCATTTTGGTCCAAACGGGTGCAAATGCAAAAAAACTGCTTCAAACCGTTTTTAAAAATGTTCGGAATTCATATTTTTGTTGCACAACAAACACTGTACTGATTTTTGAACTGTCAAATTTGTTGTGCGTCGTAGCTTAGAGTTGACATCTAGCGACACCACAAATATATTAAAGATATTTGTAATTTTTGTCTAAAAAATCGGTGGCTTTATATAATGAGACATACTGTAATATGCCGATATTGGTATTTGTAAATACGCGCGCGCTCTATTTTTAAAATGCAACACATGGAAAATTGATTGTTTTTCCATTACGTCAGAATTGTGTGCGAGTTTATATGCGTGTTTACGCTTCACCCAGCCAATTGCTGGCAATCTAATTAAATTGTCCGATTAGGAAGTAGTCTCTCTTTGTTTAAAAAAAAAAAAAAAAAATTGAAATCGTATTCTGTTTCACATATACATAATAACCACGGCAAACAAGAACAAAATCGAGTTCATCAACATCCGCAACATTCATTACAAACTGATTAAAGACTGCAAGTCTAGCTGCAAGTCGTACAGGCTACTTTGCATCTTGATTCTGTGTTTATGATGCGTTTGTGAATCACTTGTGATACAGTACACACAGGATGCAAACAAAATGTAGGGATTCCATCAAAGACAAATGACTTGTAAGCATGAACAACTGCTTGCAGCGAGGCAGAAGCAACACACACACACACACACACATGATTGGGCCCACAATGAAAATGATTGTAAACTGAATTTAAAACACTCTCAGATAATATTTATGCCCGTTTAGATTATGACTAAGCCTTTTAATGCCCATCTCTTTCTCTTCCTCTTCCTCTGACTCTCTCTGCCAACTAATAATCGGTGGTATCGTACTACTACCATATATAAAATTATCAATAAGATATTTTAATTTATATCGTTCACCAATGTCCACTCTCTTGCCGCTTGTTGAGTTGTACGCGCGCCTAAGCCACTCACATAAATCAAATGCGTACGTTATGCACACATACTGTGTTTGACAGTCATCGCATTAACTTTAATATTAAGTTTTTTCGCTGATTTTTTGTTGTTGTTCTTTCGCATTCAAATCAACACTGTGTATAATTCGTGCAATGGGCAATTTAAGAGAATTTAAACATGAACCACGGAATTTTGCGTGCGTAAAAAAATATTTTCTCAACGTTAATCGGATTGGATAATTCAAATGTGTAACAGTTAATAGTTGTGCGAGTGATTAACGAATGTTTTTTGTGTTTTTTTTATAGACAAACCAGTTCCAAAATGGCTATTCCACCACCACCACCGGCACCGGGTCCACCACCGCCACCAATTGGAAATTTGAAACTTGGTGCTCCCGCTTTTGGTAAGATTTTTTTTCATATTTTTTTTTTATTTGGAATCATCTTTTTGAATGTCTCATTTTTCAATGTGATTCACAAATTCTGTGAAAATTAATAAAATAAATGAGATTCGGTTGTTTATGATGTGAGATGATTCACTCGTTGAAATGCTATTTATTTTACGATAACAAACATTCGGTTTATATTGATGAAAACCAGAGGTTATTCCTCTGGGATGGGAGGGCATAGGAGGAGAGTATTGGGAAGGATCCTTCTCCTCAAGTGAGGAGGAAAATCTTTTTAAACAAAAAAAGATATATTTTTTCCGGGCCCTCTTCAGCACTCACCGTTTCTCCTCCCCAGTTTTTGGTTGAAAATCATTGAAATATTTCTCAATTGATGTAGGTAAATCGTCTGGAGGTGCTGATCCACGATCCGCGTTATTGTTAAGTATACAAAAAGGAGCAAAACTAAAGAAGACGACAACAGTCGATAAGAGTGGACCACTTGGTGTAGGCCGTATAGCAGATGCAAACAATAGTACTAGTAGTAGTAATGCAAGAACGAATTCATCGGGGGCGCCGACAAGGCCACCGCCTCCAAATGGTAGTAGTGCACAAATAAATGGAACGCCAAAGTTAAAAGGAATTTTTGAAGGATTGTCATCAATGCCAAAGTTAAAACCAGTCGGTGGTAGAAGTAAGTAAAATAGAATTTGTCATGGACACTGTATAATATTATTTTATCATTTGCAGCCATAGGTGTGACATCACCAACCAACGAATCACCATCATCAATATCAACTGGTAGTGGCAGTCCGCAAAATTCAAATGGTTCTGCCGTTGATTTTAGTACAGAATTATCACAACGCATAGCAATGAAAAAGCAAATGAAATCACCCAGTTCGAATACAATTAGCGAAATAAATGCAAGAAATCGCGGCCCACCACCGCAACCACCAAGCAAAATTGTTACCGACAATAATAATAGCTCAACAACTGTTAACAGCAGCCCCTTAATTAAGCAATCAAATAGGTAAGACACATTTAAACATTTTTGGTTCGTTTTTTTTCTTTTTGTTTTTCATTTTGTCATTTTTTTTATTTAAAACATCAAACAAAATTATCCGATCGTGCATCGGATCTTTGTACACACAATAGTGGATCGCCAACGAGTGTATCATCGAATGGATCGAATATATCATCGATATTACCAAATAAATCGTCATTATTCGGGAATAGCAATAGTTTAAACAACACAAGTACGAAGACAACAACACCGCCACCACCACCGCCACCCATAACGACAGCAACATCGACAACGACAACAATAACGAATAAAGTGGTGCCAAACTATGGCAAACCGACTTGTGCGCCAAAACCACCAGTTACAGCAGCAAAAAATGGCCTCAGTCCATTGAACAACATTAGTAATACGACAAATAATGGAAATAGTAGTAACCGATCAATTGTGTCACGAGCACAGAGCATGCGGGCGCCAAGGTTTGTCAACACACATCCAATTATTCGATATCGCCTGATTTTGATCGCCTCATTGGTCTTCTTAAATGAGATACGACGCATACACATTCAAAATTTTAAAATTAATTTCACCCCTCTTTTCGCTTTCGTATTGATTTGAAAAATTGTAATGAAGAATTTTTTCTCTATTTGATTCAACTTGTTTTGATAGGTCGCCACCAATTTCAGTGGCTGGTTCCACATTTCCGGCAACACAACAATTTGGCACAATACGCGGCATACCAACTGCATTTCAATCACAAGAATCGGTTAGCATTAGACCGGCACCGACAATTAGTCGACCCACTGTAGCACCACCAAGACCCCCAATTGAAGCCAAATTGGCAGCGGCAGCAACGAAAGAGGTATTTTTTGTTAAAATGTTTAGTTCATTTTATATTCGGACATAAAAAAAATATTAAAACTAAACGAATATCGTCGCCATACAGCAATCGCCTCGATCTGTTCCACCTGAAAAAAGATCTCAGGGTCGTTGCAAAAGTCCACCACCTCCGCCAATCCGAAGCATATCAAATACAAATCTACCAACACTTCCACTCAGTATTCCACCATCAGCAATGTCACCGAACTTAAGTAACATTTCAAATAGCTCGACAAACAATTTTGGTGGTTCAGCCAGCAATGTTTCAACTTTAATTAATAATGTGGTAATTTTAAGTGCAAAATAAATGGTTTTGGTCGCATTGAAATGATTATAAAATTTGAATTTAAAAAAAAATCAGATGCTGACTACAAATACTGGAAGTGCGAATAATTTGTCAGTTACAAAGGATCGCAGTCCAAATACTAGTATGAATAGTATTGCACCACCGTTACCGCCACATCGAACTTGCCCAGCACCTCCACCACCAATTCGTCAAACTTCAATCGTAAGCGCAATTAATTTTTTAAAATGACATTATTCATTGAATTTTATTTTTTTACCGCCAGACACCAAGTAATAGTGGCGTTGCACCACCTGTGCCACAGCGTCATTCATCGATGCGTAATAGTAACGGTGGCCAAGTAACGACCGTTGTTCAACATCAGACGGTCGCAACGTCGGTGACGTCGAATTCAACGCGCACCGTTGTCAATCGTTTTGTAATAGATTTAGAGGCAAAATTTGGCCATACATTTCACAATGTCACCGAATTTCCAGCGCCACAGCCATTTACGAAATTCGAAAAATCTTATCCTAGTCGAAATATGTCGAAAGCCACAACCGGTACGTTTTGAAACACACATACACGCACACACATTCGTAGTTCACTCACATTAGATGTTTTCAAACCAAAATAAAACTGGATCTGTGTGTGACACACTACACCGGCAACAAAACATTTGTTTTTATATTCTATATTCTGTTGTTTCTTGCACGCATTTTCTTATGCATGTCATTTCATTTATTGCTACGAAACAAATAAAATTTAATCACTTTGTATCACTATTTTTCTTTTTTGCATTTTTCCACATAACATGACCATTTCTAATACTGTTTGCTGGCTTTTGTTTTCAACTTTCTTACAAAAAAAAACATTATCATTTTGTGTAGACCATTTGCTTTTAATTGTGTGATTTGTAAATTCTAACGTTTCATTTTCTGTCATTTGAAATTCTAATATCCGATGCGGCATTTTTAGTAAAAAATTACATTCAATCAAAAAGGGATAAAAAAATATAAAGAATTGGACATTTCGGCAATACTAAATGTAAATGTTTAGAAAATAAAAATGTTCGAGCAAAATTCTCGGAGTATAATGCAAAAAGTCGATAATGCAGCACATGATTTTTATGAAAACAAAACTAATGATGTATTCAATGTTTAAAAATTCATATTGTTCTGCACCTAATTATTCACGCCTCCGTATTTGTCGTTGTTTTTTAAATTGTGTTAATTGCACCAGACATAAAAATTTTATTTAACAAGTTGCACGAAATACTACTTACCAAGTCAAATTCGTAGAAAAATCAATGTTAAAATATGTTCAATTTTTTTTTTCAAAATACAACATTTTCAAACAGGGTCCTAGAGAATAGCTGATTGGCATTAGAGCAAACAAATAAAATTGTGAAATAAAAAAGAAAAAATTCTGAATGAAAGCCGCCCGATAAGGATTAGAAGAAAAATGCAAAGGGAAAATAAGTGAATGAAACAGAATCTACGGGAAAAATGTCGATGATTGATGTGTAATGCAACTGATATTGTCAAATATAAGTTTGTCACTTGAAAATCAGCTACAAACGAATGCATGACGTTGTGATGGCGAATTCTTTATATTTGGTGCATTCGTCTCAATCACATGATATTTTGTTGCTGGCTACAATCATCGTTCTTTTGATATCATAAAATGTCGCATAGTAGATTTTTTGTGTTTAGAAACAGAAAAATTTCTCTATTTTATTTTGTCCCATTTTCATTGTGCGTAGATTTATAGAAAATGATAAAAAACAACAAGTGTACTAGACTCTATCTTTATTTCAAATATACATTTAATTTTATTTTAATTTAAAAATTCTCTGTATACTTCATAAATACATTAAATAAAAATCTATTTTATGTTACAAGTATTTAAAAAAACCAGCAAACAAATAATTCTATTCATCATTTTATAATTTTATTTTTTTTCTTCGCCGTGGTTGTTGTGATTTTATGTAATCATATAGAAAATTACTTGAGTAGACAGTGCGCGTCTCTATGTTCTGCTTGATTTGTTTGCTTTTGTTTGTAGACGTATCCGTTTTGATCTGTTTCTCGATATTTTATTTAAAAAAAAAATGCTGAAATTTATATGACGAAAAAAAACAATCGGTGTATGTATTTCGATTTTATGTGAATTTTTCATCAGGAAGGAAATAATGTGCTGTGAACGGTCTAACACAAACTTGAGGCAACCATATTTCAGGCAAAAACTAACAACGCCAACATAAATGACATGCGACACATTCATTACATTTTATTTATTTATTTATTTTTTATTTAAAAAAAATCGCGGTTGATCAAGACAATTTCTGTTTGTCTTGTTTTTGTGTCGTACACTTGCCACTTTATTCTTCGTTTCATATTAAAGTCAGCACCGTTAATTATCCCAAAGTCTTTTTTTCTGCACAACCTTTTTCTCGCTTTTTCCCATTTTAATTTGTTTTTATTCACAGCCATTATTTCACATTTTTCTTCGCCCACTCTTACATTCTAGCCATTAACGTAATTCTCCTTATGATTCATTTTTATGATCTATTGAGATCAATCAATAATTCGTAGACAAAACATTAATTCATTTGATTTTTTTTCTCTTTCTCTTTCATCTTTTCTTTTCGGCGTACACATATTTGTTATCGAACGATATGCACTTTCCACGTCTCCTTCACTTACATAATACATTTTTGGCTTCTTAATCATCAAATTTTGCTTCAAAATAACAAAAAAAAATCTTCATTAAAAATGAAATTTGAAAAAAAAAACACGAACGAAAAATCAATTGGAATCGCGTTTACAGAAAACCGAAAGGCCAAAGCACCTAGTCCACCATCGATAAAAACGGGGAACACTGCAACATCAACCAACGAAAAATATCAGTTGCAACTTACACAAGATGATAAACACTTTACAGAAGAGAGTTCATACTGTTAAAAAAAACACACACACCACACATACATACATATATATAGACACATAATCGCATCAAAAACCTATTTCCAACGAGAATATTTATGAAATTATATTAACAATTAAGGAGCCGACAACAAAAACACAACAGATCGAATGAACGAACTTTAACCTTTCACTTCGCCGGACGGTGATCAAATGTGTACATAATATCGCATTTCAAAAAATGTGACTCGATCTGTTTAGTATTTAACATAATCACAAACAAAAACCATTATAATAATTAAAATACAAATTTAATTTTGAATTTCCATTATTCGGTGGTTTTTCAATATTACACAGACAAAACAATACAAAATAAAACTACGTGCAAGTCAATTTCTTAAAGAGTGAGACAGAAAGAGAGGAAAAATAATAATCAAATCATGACCATATTACTTACAGTTCATTGTATGATACATAAGAACATTTTCAGCGGTACGCAAACTGATGTATAAAAGAAAAAAACTTTTTTTTGCTAAAATTATTTGTTATTCAATTTTTGTTTTAATTTTTTTAATTAAACAGCGGCAGCATAAATGCTCTATTATTTGGAAAAACGAAACCACAACATTCCGGGTATATGAATGATTGAAAGCGTTCATTTTGCTTGCCCATTTATTTTTAGAGAAAAAGAATGAAATTATTCATAACAATTTGTTAATTCTCAGATATTTTATTGGCTCAAAAATCAAATTCGATAGGTAAATTAATTTCGATTTTTTTGTCTCTTTGTAAATAACAAAAAAATAAAATAAATAAAAAATAAAAGAAAATTCGAGGCGAATGGAAAATAAAACATTTACATTTTTAGTAGCGTATTTTTAGTGATTTTATTTATTTGTTGTTACATCATATTTAGCGGAGAAATATTTTAATTTAAAAAAAAAAATAATAATAATAAAATTAGAGAAAAGAAAATTCACAATAGTATCACTAAATGTTGAGTTGAAAAGAGAAAAAAAAAAACAATAAAAATACGGTTGATACCAATTGAAAGAATTGGATTATTATAATCTATAGATTTTGGAGTTTTAAATGAAAATTGTACAATTTTAAAGAAAAAAAAAACAAACAAACAAATAGCTATTGTAAACACTTTCAAAAGAAAAGCAAAAATATATATAATTTTTGAAATTTAAACTCGATTGAAAATTAAGTTTTGTTTTAATTTATTCGAATGTTACGCTATTACGCTTATATTGGTAAGTTGAGCTTTGAGAAAATTAAATGCATTTTTGGCTATTTCAATGACATTTCACGATAATTTCAATTCTTTCTTCTTCTTCTTTGCACTCCATGTGTCAAATTTCTGCATTTGTTCTCCACTCATTTCCTCCTTATATCAACCAACCTTTCCCTTACGACAAAATCCAAAAGTAAAAAATAATATTTTTAATAACGAGATACTTGCTCGAGATTTGGAATCTGTGCAATTGATCCAAATTTTCCTTTCATTTTCCCAAATGAAACATGTTCGACGAGTTACAATTTGTTAATATTTTAATGCTACGAAATGAATAAAGAAAATCATGAGCAGACATCAGAATACACTTTGTATATTGGTTTACTTAGAGATTTAGAGACTCCAGCAACCAATTCAAACCAATCAACATGTGATACATCGATCAACGGGCCACATTCTAGTATTGACAAATATTTGAAGTGGCTGGGTAACGGAAGTTCGTTCGAAAACCTTTCAACCGCGAAGTAAAATTATAATATGATGGATTTTTCACTTCCTTGATCGACATTTTAAATTAAAATAAAAACAACATTACTTTTTTGTTCTAAATTTATTTATACGGGATCAGATACTACCCAGCTAAAAGTTAGTCGGAATAGTTTGCAATTTATTATGTTTTTCTTTCAAAGCACCATCTCCAACATGCACAATTGCGATCTAGCGCTTTTTTATCTTTCATTTTTTTGTAGTTTTTTTTTTTACTTTTTTGCGTTTTTTTTATTTTTTTATCTTTCATTTTTTTATGTTTTTTTTTTGTGTTAAATTATCCATTTAACTTCTATCTCAGTAGTACCCGGAGGGGAATCTCGCCGTTAAATGAAATTTTAGATTTTTAAGTTAGACTCCAGAAGTTCAAATGTGGGCCGCCGTGATGGATCATTTTGCCAGCAAGCCTTCATAATGTTAGACCTTTTAGATAAACAACAGATAATATCAGTGAAAATTCATCATAATTATATCAAAAACAAACTTACATTCGTTCATCAGCACAAATTGGTCGTTGCTCCATATATCCAATTTCATGGTTTTTGCCCAATGAGAAAATTTCCCACATGAAATTACCAAACGAAAAAACGTCTGGTTAAGCCATAATCTGACATTTTTGCGGTAAGTTGGTGATCTAGCAAAACATTGCGTGCCGCAATATCATTGTGAACCAATCCAAGTGATACAAAATAATTCAATCCCTTTGCAACATCCAATGACCACTTTTTGAACAATTCTTTAGTGTTCCTCATACCTTGTTGATTAAATATTGTAATTCATTTATTTATTAACGTCTAGATTAACGGTAAATTTTATGTTTAAAATAAATCATTTATAATAATTTGATTTTATTAACCCTGATAGGAATGAACGACGATATTTGACCAAAATCTACTTGAAGTGAATACTGAAAAAAAAAATCATGATAAAAAGCTACATGCACATGCATGTCATGAATATGTTTAAACAATTGACACACTGTTAAACCTATATGATTAAAAATGAGTTTGTAGTAGAAGCCTTCTATACTGCTTCCGTTTGAGTGTAGCCATAAAATTGTTTTTGTTCTTTTGTATGAAATTTTTGTGATTGTCTCGATTTGATCTTTTTTGTTTTAAATTTTATTTCTTTTGAATTTTTTCATATAAAAAATAATAAAGGATTTATTTTCAATCCCATCGGATTTACAATGCAGGCCCAAGGAAAAAAAAAATGATTTTCAAAACATTTTTCGAAAATACAAAGAGAAGAGAAACATTTACATTTTTACTTTTTATATAGAAATTCAAAAATAAGATATAACTTAAACCTTAAACACTTAAACACCTAAAGATCACCTCTATAAGTTTCACGTTGAAATCCTAACAAACATTTGATGTGGCAAATTCATCCATTATCGGGCATATGTTGACGGTCAATATTGGCGTACTGCGGTCAAGGGTACAATAGAAATCCTTGGATTTAAACTATTCACGCCTAGTAACTAACAAAATTGTTAAAATATTCTTCTTATGATTATTGTTGATTTTATGCTGCTATCAGTTGACATTGTTCGCATGGTGTGGATTGTCAGGTCTCTTCAACGAATCGGGCAATGGTACCCAATGGGGAAAATGTAACGATATTTCTATAGATGAGTGTGTACATTTTTGTAACGGCAATTTATATGGGAAAGTGTGTACGTAATGTTTCCGATTATATATGCCAAAAAGACGACACATTCCTATAAAATCAGAAACAAACACAAAACATTAATCAATTAATATGAACACTGAACACCTAACGCTCTGCTAAAAAGTATTTTATCGATAGCAGTTAGCAGTGAATAAATTGATAATAATAAAAATGATTTTGCTGAATTGGCAAAAAGCTGATTCTATTTTCAATCCTTAGTAAAGTAAAGGAAAATACGAAAAGTAACAAAAAAGTTTCTGAAAATTCGTATATCGGTTTATTAAACTTATTACGAATCCATTTAAGCCGTTTTCCATTCCACATAAAAGGCGTTGCTGTTTTTGGTTTAAATTAAATGAAGTATTGACACTCATTCAATCACTAACGAAAAATGGATATACCTATTTGGGCAGCACAAGTCGCAATAAGGCAATGATGTGCGTTCAATGCCGAGTCCTAGGCCGAGTCATTATTTATCCAAATAATGATGTAAGTAATGATTTAATCGTTGTGAATTTTCTATCTAAAATCTACTACAAAACGTACACAAATCATCATAAAATATTAAATAAAATGACATTTTAGTTGAGCTCCGTCAATTGTATCCATAATGCATATAAACCATAGGAGCGCATTCATTGTTTCGCAGCAGCAGTAATATGTTATGATGAGTCATTTTCCATTGCCTTTCATCATCAAATAAAACATTAAATTTATTATCATAGTTTGAAAATTAATTATACTGCACAGGTGCCCCTTTTATCAAGAAATGTTCAGCTTTTTTTCCTTAAAATTATATAAATGTTTATTCAGAATAGAAAAACTCAACATTTTTGTTTTCTTTCGATATCCTAACATTGCAAACCCAAACAAAAATCGCCCAAATCTTTCTATTTTTTTCACAATATTTTTCAAAGTATTATAGCACACATTGTAAGTTTGAATGGAGATGCTTAATTCCGAATAACTATTGTCGGGAACAATGTTCAAGATGTGATTGCATAAGTGTGTTCGAAACATTTTTTTTTTTGCTTTAAATCTTTGTTCATTGAACAGTTCTGCTATTGATCCAATACCCAAAGTGGATTTATATGTGAAAAAACGATTCGCTTTATTGAATGTAATTGATGAGAGTGCACTCTATTTCTTTTACAGGCACGCAGTAGAAGTGGCACTGTGCATTGAAATCCCATTTGAACTGTAACACAACTATTAATTTGATTGTTTCACGATTGTGTAATTGCTGCAACCGAAATGCCGTCAGTTTTCTCATACAATCCGCATTGAAGTCAAGTAAAATGCTACTTCTTTTGTTCTCAAACAGGAAAAGAACGATTTTCATTTGCCAACGACATTTGAACAAATATTATATAAAAGAAAGTTTCATATCGATCCAATTTTGCATTCATTATGTTTTGGCTTAACAAAAGGCATCATTTAACACTATATATTGAATAATCACATTTTTTTGTGTGTGTGTTTCTTCTCTGCAAACTCTATTATCATTTAATGAAGAAAAAAAAACGAGTTTGAATGGAATTCGAGACATAAACGGATAGAGTTTTTTTTAAACGGATAGAGTTATGTACCGTGTATTGAATATAGCGTCAAATCAACGCTAATTGCAGTTGCTATGCTAAAATTTGATTGGTTCACAACATATTTTTCAAGGACTATAGTTTTTCACAAACCACTTTTCGCTAGCATATTTCTTTACCATATTTTGACGAAAAAATATCTGCTGCCGAATTAATCGAGGAATTTCAGTAGCACAGTGAGAATGGATGTAATGAATATTTGTTTATAAACTGAGTATATTTATGATTCGAATGCTGATGCATGCCAAATAACTCTAAATACAACGAGCGCTTTAAGAAACAAACGAAAATCAGTTGAAAAATTGATTGGATGTGTGATGTTCCATTTATTTCATTTTACATTTGTCAAAATTGCCAAAGCCACTGGTCGAATTTTTCTATCAAATCATCGGCAATTCAAAGCTGTAAATTTTTCTTTAACCGACTATTCAGTGAGTATGTTCATTTAATTGCTAGAAAAAGTTGGAGTTTTATATTTCGGTACTATCCTATACAATTTGATAATTTTTTTTTTGTGTTGTGATGCATAAAGGGCTCGTTTTTTTTTTATTTCAGCCAAAAATGGAAAGTCATATTGTCCAATATGATGCAAAATATCGTTGCTCAAACTGTAGCTTTGAATGGAGCTATCAATCACGAGATTCAAATATTGTACGATATTGTGAAAGATGCGGTGTTCCAGCTGAGCCATTCACGCGAATCATTCTGCGACAATGAGCATAGCAAAAGTGTAATCCGTTTTAAATAATTTAAAATATATGTAAAATAAATAATGTTTGAATAAAACCAATTATTTTGCATAGAAGTCGAATAGATTTTTTTCCCTCATTTCTCCTTGAATAACATCCACATATTTTGTTTTTCAAGAAATAAACGACAAATGAAAGCAAAACTTATTCAATTTATACAATTTTGCAATTTTATTTGCAAGAAAAAAATATATGAGAACCTGGCGTGAAAGAGATGGCGCTTCTTAAATCGAGTCGCGTTCAAATACATTGTCAATATACAACACAAGTGATACTCGACCAACTTACTTCCACACTATTCACGGTTGGGGCGTTCAAATAACTGGCATTTTAAGTGGCGTTCCGCATTTGGTTCGCATGGTTTTTGCCTATTTTTTTCAATTTACAGTGATTCATTGCTGCAAAAAAAATTTATGGGGCCGAACAAATGTACGGAAATTTGCTTGTTTCATCTCAATAATACTGAACGGTGTGTTCGTCATTGGATTAGCCTATTCATGATGTAGTTCAACTACAGCCGTTGTTTTTCTCATTTTGGCCACTGGAGTGTATGGAGCCGTTACAGCAGGCCTGATAGCAGCAGTCATTGATATGAGGTTAATAAAACACATATTCGTTTCTTATAAACTGTTTTCTCTTTATTTAATTTTCAAAAAGATAAGATTTTGAATTCATTCTTAGTAAATTTCGTACTTTATCTCTTCATATTATATAATTTTCATCTTGATCAGTCCGAATTTCTCTGGAATAATTCTCGGCTTAAATGGATTGGTCTGTGTTACGCCTGGATTTATTTCACCATTCATTGTCGTTGAAATGTTGACATATGAAAACGTAAGCACTATCTATTTAGTTACTGAAAGAAGAATTGTGATAAGAAATTTAATTCAATTTCTTCTTTAACACATTAGCAATCAACACAACAATGGCAATATATATTTTCGATTTGTGCAACAATTTTGTTTATAACCGGCAGTATATATCTTTTATACTCCGATTCAACATTACATAGTTGGAATCAACCGAAAACACTCCCAAATTCCACCAATGACAAAGAGATGGAAATCATAAAAAAATGTCATTCAAGAGAAAGTGAAGTCAACAGAAGAGCAAGAACTGATACCATTAATGAATGATGCATCATTTGGACGTTTAAAGTGTTGGAGCACTTTCGTTATTTGTTTAATAAAAGTGATAGTGGCAATAAATGAAAATCATACAATTTTAAAAATAGACAATTTTTGTGTTGTAGAAAAGAAGTTCTTTAAAGAAATGAGATCACAAAATGTCTTTTATTCCTTGGGTTTTACATTTTTAGAGAGAAAAGTACTTCGTTTGAGTTTATTTCATTTGAATGAAATTCGTTATTGGATTTAATTATTATTATTATTTATTTGGTTTTAATGTCTACCTATAGCAGGATGACAATACAATGTTTTTTGCTTGGAAAAGAGTGGATAAATTCCCTCATTAAAAACCAAGATCTTTTCTAACAATTTTAATCTAAAGCAATACAACTGACTGTAAAAGCGATTATATATCTTTTCAGTCAGTAAAATGTTTTTATAGTAAAAACGCATTGAAACTGTTCAAAAATGCAAAGTTTCAAGTGAAACATGTAAAAAAAAAACAAAGTAATGTTTCAAAATCAAGTACTTTATGTCACGGAAAATGGCAATTTTCTAAGCAAAAAGAGAAATGTTGTCAGTTGGTAATTTTATTACGAATTAGTATCACTGATTTAGCTAATAAAACTCTGCACAATGTAAGTCTACAGTGTACAGAATCACTGATAAGTATTCATTTATAATAATCATAAGCATTATATAGAATGATAACAGTCCTATTGTTTTAATTATCAGCCCGACTAATATGAAAAGTTACGAGGATTAAAACCAACAAAAAATTGAAATTTTTCTAGTTTTATTAGGAGATATTATAGAAATTCAAATACATTCATAATTAAACTGAAAGCAATGTAGCCAAAACCAAAATATTTACTGAAAATACAGGCGCACTCGAACTACTTTAATTATCTGTTAATTTTTTTATTTGACCATTGCAATGGATTGATATTTCAAATGTGATAAAATACGTAATGATTTCCATTCCTTTTCACACACCTGGTCCAAGATGGGTTTTAAATCTTTATTTTCTGTCATAAAAAAGAGATTAAATTCCTTCAAGTTCTGGTTATTTTTGACAAATGTTAATATCTCTTCAGCTCCAACAGCATTATCACAAAAAATATCCACTGAAATAAAATTAGCTGCTTTCGATAATCTAAAGATCACCTCTATCAGTTTCACGTTGAAAGTGCATGTTTGTGTATGTTTGTGTCTGTTTCATATTGCGTGGAAAATGCTTCAATTCATAGCATTCAAACATTTTTCGAATATGTTTTCTCAAATTCAACGAATAATTGGTTCCATTAAAATCCATTTCATACTCATATGGATCTTCACCGAAGATCAATGTTGTTGCATACGCTATTGCAAATGCTCCACACGAAGTATTATCAATTTGTTTGGTTTTTGGTTCAACAAATGTAATATATTTTCTCATTGGATAACGATTGTTGATAATTTCCATTTGTCGTTCGTGTAACTCTTTTTGATATAAACTATCATACACATAAACAGTTTGATTTTCTGCTTTATAAAATACGCATAAAAAGTGACCCGTGGCATTAATTCCGATATCACCACCTAATTAGACAAAAATAAATTCCGATATCACCACCTCATTAGACAAAAATATCATTGCTTTACCGTAGAGAATTTGTACATCGTCTTTGTCACATTTTGTGTATAATTCAGGAAAATAATAGTATATCACATCTTTCATGTCAAAATTGGTAATTGCTCGAACTAGATTTATAAAATAATTTATTGTGTGATCACTGAAACGTTGATTCGGTGTCTCTAATTCAAACAGTACCTCCTTTGGAATTAGTTTCGTACATTTATCCAAATGAGGTTTTTCTGCGAAAATATATCCAGCCCTGCATTGAAAGAATAAATAAATGTTGATATGCTTGCAATATCATGGATATACTCACAATATAAATTCTAATAGTATAATCAATTGTAGCATTTTCGAATGAAATTTTAAAATGCGATACTTCAACGATAAATGACATTTACTAAGTTCAAGATATTACATTTTATTTGTTAAATTCTGATGTAAGCTGATTAAACACATTTTTGGATTGTCGAAAACATCTGGTGCAGAACAAGCGATTTCAAACTTCAAATAAATATTTTTTTTTCCTATTAAGTTTGCCACCTTTTTTGCAAAAATGAATGCTTTTTCGGATTGAATGAGTTTTTCATATGAATATGTCACTTCTCATTGTAAATTAATTGTTCATTCTTATTTGTCATTAATAGTTTCGATTTTTATTTCTCGAGAAAGCAACCCTCTTCATGTTCATTGTCGCTTGAATTCTTTGATTACTTTGCAATCAGTATTAAGAATATCGCGTGGAATTATAGAAATGATATCGTTATCCAAAGAAATGTGAAAAAAGTGGATGTATTCATTGTGTGGAAACTGGAAAAAGAGATCACATATTGAAGCATGTGGAATTTCACTTGATCCGATGGAAATTCATATGAGAATATCGGTTGATCGGTACGTAAATTGAATACAAGTATTTTTGTTGGACAAATTGGATTTATTTGAATTGTTAGAACCCATAGACGATCACATTCATCCACCCAAATATGATAGACAAACATTAAACGTGAGCAATCGGGTTGTGGGGCTTCTGTATTTGCATGCCAATCCCAACTTGGATATGGACGCATCGGTGGCAATGGCAATGATGCTAATGGACAAACTAAAATAAAACAATAACAATAAAACTGTAATGTATCAAATGAAATATACATTTTTTTTAACAAAATTTGTATTATTGAATTTTAGAATTTGGAAAATGATACATAAAAATATAAAAAAAAAAATTACATCATTTTTTACATTTCTATTTTAAATATCAATTTGATTCAATGCGCAAAAAATTCACAACAAACATAAATAATAATTTCTAATCGAGTATTTTCTTTTCTCCAGATCATTCTTACTAAAACAAAAAAAATATAGTTAATGAAGCTGTAAGCAGGTAGAATTGAAGCTAAAGTGAAGGAAAAAACAGTAAATTTATTTATTATTTATTCATAATACTGAAATGAGAGTGGAAAAATGTTTGTCACTTCAAGGCATTGCTAATGTATGCAATGGTTGTTTTAGAATGTTTGTGTCGCACGCCGTGCCGATAATAGCATCACGAGTGCTAGCTCGTTGAATTCGGAAATTGATGTCAGTGAAATCAAGTTGTGAATACAAATACACCGGCAAACGATTGCTTAGCACCCATACACCCTGCAAATAATTTATTTAAATCGAATAACAATCTTATTAATTTAAATAAGAAAAAAAACTGGTGAATTGAATTTGCATGTACCTGATCAAGTTCTTGATCCACTTTCAAATCATTTGGAAATATTAAAGTTGTATTATCTTGTGCAACGATATCGATAGTATTTTGGAAGTAAGGTTGATCGCTGTCCCAGCATCCGACCGCATTTTGTTGTACTAACGTAAAGAATTGTACGTTATTTCGATCGATGCCTGACGTTGAAGACTGTCCCCGGTTGCCACGATCGCCAATTTGAACAAATGAACCGGCTTGGCCAGCACCATTGTTTAACGTCCAAGCGGATTCATTGCGCAAAACACTTGTACTCACGAGAAATTCCTGTCCGAAAAAAAAGAAAACGTTGAAATAATCATTTATTTTAAACGCATTTTCCCGTTTGTACCCCAAAACTTGACATCGGATGGAAAAAAAGTAAACGATCTGGTGGTTCGTTAATTGGTGATAGACTCATTCCAAACACACCGTCGGTCCATTGAAAATTCAAGCCATTCAATGTATAATCACATGCTTCTGGATTTGGATAGAAGAAATGATGTGAAATGCGCCAACTACGACCTTTGGCTAAACTAAATACGGTGATGCCATAACGCCAAACGTCCGTTATGTAAGCGTGCGCATCATTGCATCGTCCGTTACGAATGTCAACAATTAAATTTGAATGTAATGAATCCTCTTTTACTTGATCCGGTGGAAATTCGTAAGAGAAAATCGGTTGATCGGTACGTAAATCGAAAACAAGTAGTTTTGGTGGGCAAACTGGATTTATTTGAATTGTTGCATTAATAATGCCAGAATCCAGCACCCACAGACGATCACATTCATCGACCCAAATACGGTAGACAGACATCAAACGTGTGCAATCGGGTTGTAACGCTTCTGGGTTAGAATGCCAATCCCAAGTTGGATACGGGCGCATCGGTGGAGATCGATCGAGCGCTGGCAACGGCAATGAAGCTAGTGGATAAACATAATTTCCATCAAAATTGACATATTTGAAATAGGGAAAATTCACTCTCTTTCGTCACAAAGTCTCGAAATTATTTAAAGTGAAATCGAAAGTCTGTAAAGTATTCAAACCTAATGAAGCTGGAATGCCATTTTTCCATCGTGGCATCGTGACAAACAATCGATTTCGCCATCGATCTACACCTAAAGGTACCTAACATTGAAAATAAACACATGCTCTCTAATTTGACACAATTCAATTCAAAGGGTGTGAAAAATCGAGAACTTACATTATTTGTTGGAATAAAATCACCATTTAAAATAGCACGTTGTCGATCTAAAAATGTTGGATATTCAAAATCAAGTTGATGCCATTCATAGATTACATCGAATGGATTTCGAAATTGTCGCGGTCGATTTATATTGGTTTGATGTGATCCACTAAAATGATTTTGAAATTTATTGTGATAATTATGATGTGGTGGTACATAGCTCAGCACTGGCGTTTGACTTTGATATTGTGGAAATTTTTCACCAAATTTATCGCCAAAAATATAATTCTGCGGTCGAATGCCACCATGACTGCCTAATATCGGTGAAAATAAATTTGGTGGATTTGCCGTTGGATTGTTCATCATAACGCCGACACCGATTCCATTGCCACGACTTTTAAACGGTGAAACTGCATCGCTGACCAAACATAATGCACACAACAATGCGACTAGAAGTGATTGTATTTGCATCAATCGCATTTTTATTTAATTGTTATATCTAATATCAGTGTGGTGTGTTTCGAACGAAAATTCGCAAAAACTGCGTGGCTGGTCGAATCTCGACCAAGGTTAAAAATTGATTACTAACCGGTGCACACACCACGCTCACGCACACACACAGCGTGTAGATCGATCGTTTGTTATTGTAGTTTGTTTTTTTTTAATTTCAATCAATAACGTGTGCATTTAACACAATCATCAATATCATATTCACACTTGATTAAACTGCTACAGATCGCACGTAATGAAAAACAGCCGTTGCAAACCACAAACACACAATAACTATATCATAAACCACTGACTATGAAGAAAACACGAACTCAATTCGAATTACAAAAAACCAATTATGACGATTTACACACAAGGACACTTGATGACTTCGTTTTGTTTCGCATTTAATTGCATCATAAAATGATATGAACGCTCTTTGTAAAACAAACTAATAGACTTTGTTTCAATGTTTATGAGTTATCAGCTAAACAATAGTCCAGGCCCAGTTTTAAGCGTCGTGTATTGCATGTGCAATTATCAAAATCAAACTAAACTCAAATCTCAGAAATCACCTGGTAATATATGTTCTCGGAATTGATTTCATAAGCAATATGAGCGAGCGTTATGATTTAAACCGCGTTTTAACCACTGGCACAGCGAAGACAATGCGCATACAAAACGAGTTACGTTTTGCATTTGGCTGATAAAAAAAAACAACAACCAACCAACCAACAAACAACATGTGCGTTTTCAAACGAAACCGAGAGTGGCAGCTGGCGGTAGTTGCAGTGTGACGATGGTGACTTAAAACTACTTGTTTACAAGAATATATGCACATATTATACCGGATAATTAATCTGTCTTCAGCAACAGATAAACAAATAAACAAAGATGTTGAATGGTCGACGGTTGCAACGAACTTGGTCTACCTCTCCTTGTCGCAGCAATAACATAGATACTACGTTAATTTCATGTGATTAAAACGTCTCATGTTGCGTTTCGTTGCACTGCTTTTTTTCGCATATCTTTTTATTTTCTCCTAACGGACATTTCGGTCCAGCGGTAAATATAAACCGAATTCAGCTTTATCGTATTCACTTTCCGCATATTTCTTTTCACTTGACTTTCAATGGCCAGTAAAACGTGCATTATTACTGTTCCATCATTGGAACAAAAATATCAGATTATGTTTGACAAACATTCATAAAATGCCCACTCATTTCGTTTGGATGAACCGACCAACTTTGCTCACACACTCACACATCAGTTTACTGGTTAGTTTACAAGATTTCCGCTTCTTTTTGCACAATTTTGCTTCCATGTACCATTTTCTCTTCGAAAACGCACATATTCTTTTCGCAACACCGCAATGCGTTTGAAATACATTCGCTTTCATACATTTCACACAAATGTATTTTGTCGTGTCGATTGGATAAATATTTTACCATTTGAATATAATGCATAAAAACGAATTGTGAGTGACGGGCAGATTGGGCAATTGATTTCAAGTGGAATAGAAGGAAAAACACTAGAGATAAAATATGCGTTTTGTCAATGCACTTTGCATCGCAAACTACTTTGTATTGAACACCATTTTTCCCCCAGCTTAGCTGTGACACAGTTAACGTATGTATAATTTTTGTTGTCAATTCGTTTTTTTGATCGCATGATTCAAACGGGATTTATAATTGCGTTTATTAAAACTGTTTAAAATTGATTTAAAAACATTTCACACAAGAATAATATATGAAGTTTATCGATACGATCGAGAATTCAAGAAATAGGTTTGGCATTTTTTTGCATAAGAAGACGGAACATATTTTTCAACAAAAACACCAATTTTATCAACATTATCATTTGCAATGGGTAATTATTTAATTATCGACTCATAATGAACGTGCACTTCTATGCAACTTGACTCCGTTTCCTGACACACTGATTTCGAATGGACGGCGAATAATGTTGCTGCACAGATGCATCGTTACATAATTATGATCATGACCATCAATGCATAACATCGTCGTCAGACCACAATTTTTCAAACATTTGCTACAACTAACATGATCATCGAGCGTGCCTTCTATCAATAATTCAATTAACAATTATTACACAATTTGCAAATGTCCAAATAAATAAATTCAATTAATTTATTCGGCTTAATTCAATCAATAGTTCGATCATCATCTGTTATAGAATTTTCTCATAGTGTTTGAGACTGAATTGCTATAAAACTAATTGTAAATTTAAATTCGATTTAAATTCATTATTTGACGATTAACTGTGATTGATTAACTATATTAACTACTTATTTGTTTATTTATTTTTGCGATTTGCTAGGAATTTTCGAGATCCTCTCCCCATAATCAATTTTATTTCCGAGTGGAATCAAAAACCCGTTTTTGGTAGAGTTTTTGTCGAGAGAACCCCTACATAAAACATTAGATAAAAGTGACTCTTGTGAGGGTTCTCTATGGATTTTACCAGTGACCCCCTACGTAACTTTGCTGTTTGCGAAATCAAACTGCAAAAAATAGTTTCAACGATTCAAACGTGGAATTTTGACTTGAAAGACAAAAAATTGAAAATACGAATTTGCAAGCATTGTTGGATGAAACCCCTTCCAAACGCAAAAATAACTGCAATTGAGTTGACCAAACAACCATTTCCAGACACTTGCATTCAATGGATAAAATTAAAAAAAAAATGATTGGCATTTAAAAAAAAAGATAATAAAAATGATTACGATTGAAATCGTAGACATTAGTATTTAATGGAATTCATTTATTTAATTTATATCATATTAATTGGCAAGTATTTTTCAATGTAGTTTCCACTTTTCTCAATAAATTTGTTTTAATCGTCACATTTCGACTGAATTCCGTTGTTTTCGCCTTTTTTAGAATGTTTTAATTTTTTGTAAGCATTCATTCTCTATACAAACGAATAAAATTTGTTAGGAACTTCAAACTTAAATCAATTATTTTACATTGATGATCTTTCAACAAAAAAGGTCACTTTCCTCGATCCACGAGAAACTGTATAATAAAACCCACATACAAAATACAATAAGAAAAATCCAAGTTTCAATTCCGATTTTAATAGAGATTTAAAGATATCCATTTAAAAAATCAAATATACACCATGAATGGAAATATAAATGGAGACGGCATAAATATAAATGTGCCGTCTAGAATGAAAATCACTTAACGAATCTCATCTCCTACTCTCGCTTGCAGAAATGTCCACAAAGCAGCATGTGTTCAAGTCACTTTCATTCTCTGGGACAACATAAATTAATAAACGGGTAGCATATAGGCGAATTCGATTATTCCAATTGAAAATAGATGGTTAGAATTAGTTTTAATTGGGTTGAAATCGTCAATAACGAATTCGAAAAAACTAAATTCGATTAACGAAAGAACCAAAAAAAAAAATGCTGGTTGCATTTAAACTTTATATTATTAATTGCGGAGCATTAACCATAAAATCAAGTAATTTCGACATACTTTATGTACAAGATTGATAAAAAAATGCTGTTCTAATTGTGTATATGATTCATGCGATAACAATATTTCAATCGACAGTTCAATGACGGTTAAGATTTCCATATTCAAAACGAATCAAAAAACCAACAATTTCATTGTCGGCGGTTTCATTACGTTTTTCGTAATGAGCAAAGAAGAAGAAGTAGAGTGTTCGTCATGACCAAACCCAATGTATAAAATATCACGCATACAGGCATGTGCGTTCAATCACTCAAAATGTGTGCATTCACACAAACACACGCTGTCAAAGAATTCATGTGAATCAATGTCGTGTTAGTTTCGCGGCTGTACATACACATACACATACATACACATATGACTTCTGATTCAACTACAGATGCACAATGCACCGATTTGAAGCATTGTTATAAATGAGCGATTTTTAACGATTTCTAGTACGACCGAATCCAATACAATACAAAATACCAGAGCGATAAGCATTACAACAATTTGTTGCTCCCTTGATGATTTTGTGATGATGTGTCTTGACGAAGAATTTCTTTTTTTTTTTCGGAAAAACCGATTCAATCATTTTCATATTGCTGAAATTTAATGCCAACAAAAAAATCATAATAATTTTAATGCCGAGGCGTGAAAATGAAACGTTTTGCGTTTTTTTCTCTTTCTTCATTGGCGTATCACGCTTGCTTTTGTGTCTTGACTACCAACAAACAGGTTTATTAAAATCGGTTTGTGGCAATGTTCAAACAAACGTTGATATAAAACATGCACACATTGAACGGCGATATGAACATTTTTTTGTTGTCGATGAATAAAAGAACGCGCACGAATCCATCGTGATAGTTATGTTGTGAATGTATATGAGCGCGCTTTTATGTATAGACATTTGTATTGGGCCGTGTGTATGATATGTATGGTATTGACTCGGTTTCGTCAATGTCGTAGGTTTCGAGTCAAACACACATGCACACAGTGCGAGCAAGACAGAGAGCGAAAAAAAATGGCTCAGTCATGTTGATTGCTCATAGCGTTCGTTTCTCGGTACCATCTCTCGGTATGTGTGCTTGTATGTGTATATTGAGTGAGTCAGTTCATATTTCCATGGTTTATATCGACGCGAAAACGCGCACACACAAACACACCAATTGGAAAAAACTGGCACGCATACACAAACACACAAAATAGGCAATAGCAGCAGCAACAGCAACGACAACGACAAGATTGAAAGCCAGCGTATATACAGTACACAGTATATCTCTGTTTCAAAAGATATTGTTTCGAAAAGAAAATCAGTAATAAAAAAAATTTGTGTGTGTTCCAGAAGAAGACCAAGTGCGGAAAGGAAAAAAAAAATATTTTTTTTCTTTAACTCGATCGAAGTGAGTGTAAGAACGAAGCCACAAAATAATTTTATATTAGAAAAGCAAAAAAAAAAAAAAAATAACGAAAGAAAGAAAAGAAACGTCGAAGACGAGTGAAAAAACTGCACTGTAGTTTTCGGTCGAAACGGGAAAAAAGTACACGGAATATATATATTTTTTTCACATCGATATAGCGCGACTTAAGAGTTGGAAACAAAGTTGTCGGGAAAAAAGTTTCGCTCTTTCCCTTTTTTGTTTTTTCGTTTGTAACTGTGTATGTGTAGCGAGGCGACATTACCAGCCCAAAGTGAGTTTAAATGCTATAAGTGAGAAATACAAAAAAAAACAACACACACAGAATTTAAATACGACAAACGATTTTTTTTGCTTGTTAATTTTTTTCTCTTGTTGATTCTGATAGAAATTCTTGTTAGTTCGTTACAATCGAGAGTATACAAATCAAAAGAAAAAAAAGTGAAATTATTCTCTATGGTGGAATGTATTTGTTAGGACGAACGAATTCAAAATTGTTGTGAGTGTGTGTGTGTGTGTGTGTGCGTGTATGTTGATTTGTATGCATCGACAAAATCCAAATTTAGTGAATAAATCAAATCGAATTCGATAAAGAAGCGCCTCTAGGCTTACTGATTTGTCATGGTTAAAATATGTAAATTGTGTGTGATTAGACGGAAACATGAACGCTTATTCACGATGTGCAAAGACAACAGCACCAAAATTGTTGCACACACACATTCTCTGTTCAATTTTACACATACGCACATACACACAAACAAACACGCAAGCACACGGTGTATTCTTTTTGTTCGGCATAGCCTGCATGTTTATAGAAATAGTTCTTTTTTTATATATATAAATTTAAAACAATTTGTTGTTTCAAAAAAAAAGAAAAAGACAGCCGAGAAGCCGATTCGGGACATAAAAAAGTATAATTCAACACGCAACCATCGTGAATCATTCAAATTGCATCGTTAAATAATTATCGGTTCGAAAAGATTGAGATTCTAGAGTTAAATTGAGTTATAAAATCCGGTGTATATCATAAAGAGTGTGTGTTGTGTGTTGTGTGCGACTTTTGTCGATGAGTCAAAGACGCTCATGTTGGTTTTCTCCATTTAGTTTTCATTGTCGTTCTTTTTCTTCTTCAATATCTGAATATTGTGTTTTAATACGCTAAATAGAATTGAATATAATTGGTTGCCTTTCGGCCGTCTAAGTGCGTTTCAGTTCATTTTATTCTTCTTCTTCTTCATTTTTGTCTCATGTGCATCTGTTCTATAATGTGTTGTTTTGTATGTATGTGCGTATAAATCGAATCGCTATCAGGCCGCTATCGAAAATACCATAATTATCAATTATTCCCTAGGAAATACGCGCGCGTGTGTGTGTATATGTGTTAATTTGACTGCGAAAAAAATTTAAGAAAAAAAATGAATTCGAATAAAATAGAAAATATGCCGCACAACACACATGGGTGAATAATGCATATGACTCGGAATGTATCAAGTGTACCACGAATGCATGCTTCTCTTTCATTCTCCCCCTCCCTATCTCCCCCTCTCTCTCTCCCTCTGTGTGTGTGTGTAACAACATAATATTTGATTGTCGGTTGCCATTAAACTAGCAACAATTATTATTTATTACGAATATTCGAGAGACCGAATGACAACGGCGAATAGCCGCGATGACGATGACATCGTTTTGTATGTGCTCTATTGTTTGCCACTGTTTGTCATGCACATTCCGATACAGAGAATGAGATTTTGATTTTGCTGACAGTAAATAAATTAACCGTTAAACATTTAGTGTGTACCAGGCTTTTTGGACTTCGCAAAGTGGCGATACAAAATGTGTGTGTGTTGAAATGGAATGCGTGTGTGTTTCTTTTATGACATGGTTGAATGTATTCGAAAAAGAGTTTGTTTTTTTATATTTTAATTTCTTTCGTCCATAGTGTGTAATGGAATGTGTATGTTCTTTGAACATTTTCAAATAGAATATATGTGAAAGTGCGTGAAATTATCCGTAAGGGATAAAAATATGGAGCTCATCTAAGCACAACGAACCAATCGAACGATTTTTCGGCCTTTATCATACACTCACTTAGTAGCGTATAGCAACTGGTACTATAGCTATATCATTCATTCCCCTCCCATCACTGTGCACAACAACAAAAATATTGACGACGATATAATTTACATTTGCCACACATGATTGATCTTGGCTGGGTGGTGTTTGTTATGCATATGAACTGAATATGCAAAATTCACCTGGCGCAATAAAACCCAGTTTCAATTTCAGTTCAAACACAAATCATATTTTCGCCTAGAGGCTTTTCTGCTCTATCAACAGCAAAAAACATTGTGTAGTATGTATTTTCTTTTCTCTACACTCTACTATCTCTATGGCGGTTGAAGAGTTACTCTTTTTGCCTATCAATTTCATCTTTATGCTTCGCTCAAAAGACAATTCAATTGTTTTCACACTTTCCCGAGATGATGACAGGCGAGAGAGCGAGAGAGAGAGAGTGTGTGGAGCAGAGAAAATGAAGATCATTCGCACAATTCAGATATAATATGCACATTTGCGACACATTTGATACCGAAGAAAGTGCGGCCGCAGTGTCTGGTGCACATAATATGGCTGTACAGCATGAATCTGATATGAAAATGTAATCAATTTGATCTCAATTTGGCTGACAAGGACACAAATCGTATACATTTTGTGGTCATGAATTTTTCATCTATATATCACACAAACACAAACACACACACACACACACACACACACACACACACACACACACAAACCCCATTGTTCATTCGTATATTTATATTCAACGATTTTGTAATGTTCCATTTACTGCAAAAAAAATCGCTGACAATTGAACCAGCTTTAAATAGTTGTGTATGTGTTTATTATTCGTCAAGTATGAATGCGCTTGCGATCCGAAATTATAATCAAAAGTCATAAATTCATTAATTCCATCGATTTATAAACAGAAGCCCTTCGACTCATGCAACAAAATGATAACAAGCGATTTATATGTGAAATGTGCAAACAAGTTGCTACTGTAATTAAACCGAGTCCCCAACAATACAGGCAACAGGCATATCGTCACCACCATCACCAACAACAACAGCAAAACCATCAAAATCATCGATTAAGTCCAGCGCATTGCAAACATGAATAATTGACAATATTGCAAGTTTGCAGTTTACTTATTATTATTATTATTATTATCGAAAGCAATGCCACATCCACACAATTTCCATATTATTCGATCGTTGCGTGAAAATTTTCGTTGAATATTGGTTTTGCCTTGCATCTGCATTTAATTTTCTCTTTTATTTGTATATTTTGTTGTTTTGTTGTTTTGATGTCATTGACGTGTTATCATTTTGTCGGTTCTGTTTCGCTGCATAAATCGGTATCAAACGGTTTGGAATGTTTTTGCCATATTGTCATTATCAGCAATTTATCCAGAGTATTTTGTATTTGTGTGTGTGTATGTGTCAGTTATGTAGAAATATTTCCATTCCATTTGCCATTTTATGCGCTCGATTTGGGTGTATGGTTTTGATGTGGGAAGAAAACAGAGTAAATAAGGTAGACAGATTTCGAATGAATTTGCAAAGCAATCGGCAATTTCTGGCTTAAAGTCAGTGTGCATGCATTTCGAATTCAAATCGCTTTTGACAAAACAAAAAAAAAACACAACGAAATAGAAATTCATTGTGCATCGCAGTTTTTCCGGAGCAACTAACTCTGCATAGAATCATGAAAGTGGAAGACAAATGGAACAAAAACAAATAACAATAAAAATATTGCATCGATAACACGGTCCAAAAGGTTTCTTTGTTTGCAATACATTTTTTTCGTTTGCTCGATGAAACATATAAAATGCACAACAACATCATCGCCGCATGTTAACACAGAATTTCAACGAATATCACTCTCGCTCCCTCGTATTGCTCGTTCGCTATCTCATTCTCAGATAAAACGAAACACACATAAAAAAACAAACCATTTGCCCTAGTGCCTGCCAGTTCGCGTTTTATCAGCTTTCGCTTGTAACACTCAACAAAAATGCAACAGATTCAAAGCCTTGGCTGAAACAATGAATTTTACTGATTTCGTTTCGATGAAAAACAAAAAAAAATATTCTTTTTGATTTTGTTTAAAGCGGCGCACACCGGAAAATTCGAAATCGTGTCTTACGTTGTCAATAATCAACAGCCACTTGTTTATTCTTTTGCTGCATTTTCTTCTTCTTCTTGGCAATTCGATTTGTTATTGGTTTCGTCTTTTTCATTTTTTTTCTTCTTCTTCTGTTGTTGTTTTTGCTGAAGAGCGTGTGCCGTATTGATGAATTTTCGTTACACATGCTTGCATTCCAAACAGAGATATAATGTTTTTTTGTTGTTGCCCTTTCTGATCTTTATTTCTACGTTCACACAGAAAATACCGAAATACTCAGAGTCAGCGCAAATGCGACCAACATAATATCATATGTGGCGGCTCTATGGAAATTGCCGATATTGCTCTTCTTCTACTTCTTCTGCGTTTTTTTCGTCGTCGTTGTTGTTGTCGTCGTCGTCATCGTTCGATCGGTTTTTTTCTTCTTCTATGTGTGTTCCGTATATTGTGTATGGTGTGTGATAAATCAGCAAGCCTTGTGTGCTCATCGAATTAAATTAACGAAATGACTAAACACGGAATGAATTCAATAATAATAATAACAACGAAAAAAAACAACCAACAACCAAGTAGAAAATGTGCATTGCAAGCACCACGCACGCCAATTATAAGCCAAAACAATATGTATTACATTATGTGCCACAGCACATATACTTACATACCCATACACACCCAAGACAGAAATGATGAAGCGGAGCGCGAGAGAGAAAAAAACGAAGAAAAAAAATTCAGTAGAAATTTGATCTTAATTTTGGTTTTCATTTGAAATTTTTTTAGTTTTGAGTGTGCTTTGTGTGGGTTGCAAAACAAATAATTAATTTAAAAAGAGAGCAAACGATAGAGATGCATATGAGATATATGTCGAGCATTATATGCAAGACATCGAAAGGGTTCGATTTTTTGGTTAACTGAAAATATCACATTCCGAAAAAAATGGATGGCAACATTTTTCACATCGAAATCAGAGCGACAAGCATTAAAACTTCTTTTCAAAACATTAAAGAGCATAATTTATTCAATTATTCCCCTCCAATTAATGAAGTTATTGAACAGGATAGAAAAAAAAGTTCATTGAATTGACCTTTGAGATTGAATATACGTTTTTTTTCTCTCACTGTTTTTCTCAACGTTTTTTTTTTCTCGTCTATTTTTTTCGCTCGGAAACTTTTTTTTGTATTTATATCAAGTGAATCAATGTTGCATACTTTGTGCTTTTTTTTCTCCTCTTTTACTGAAAAGTGTGGAAAATAGAATGAAATGCGAGAGAAAAAAACGTATCAAAGAACTTTTTTTACAAAAATAATAATAATGTTCAAACTTTTCAAACTTTTCATTCGTTTCTTGAATGATTATTCGCAATTCGATAGTTCTTCTGCATGAATGTGTGTGTGTAAAAGCGTGAGGTTCGTGAAAAATGAAAATGATTTCACACGTTGAATATTATTGTTAGATGTAAGTAGATACAACTGTTGCTATTATTCATTGATCAGCAATAGAGTGTACGATGTACGAAATGTCATGTTTTGTGGGAACATCTATATGTATGTTGACGTTGTTTTAAATGCACTGCATTTGCACATGCACATATTTGAAATACCAAATGAGCGCATATATATAAAAAGTATGACACAACGGTTTTCGACTCTTTTAGAGTCGGCTAAATTGATGCCATGTGGGTATAGCCGCGTGTAAATAAAATACACCACAGCCTTCCCTTGTTTGTTGCACTGTCGCCCGTTCCATTTCTGGCGGCCGCCTGTGCATGTGTTCAGAGCATGGCCTCTCTCTCTCTCTCTCTCTCTCTCTCTCTCTCTCTCTTTGTATGCGTTGTTTGGTTTGGCCTTTAGTGTTTTTTCCGCCTCGTTCTTACTCCAGATTGTATTTGGAACGCTTTCAGTGTATTATTAGTTTTGTCGCCTTGTTTAATAAATCGGTTATATCCGATTCGATGATCAATAAAGTCATCATCAAATCCTTAACGCTAGCCGTTCAGTCTCAGTACATTGATTGACTGTGTTGTGTTTTTTTTTTTTCGTGTCGAAGAGCAAGAGAGAGAGAGAGAGAGAGAGAGAGAGAGAGAGAGAGAGAGAGAGA